ACCCCCGGGGTTGTTTTCTGAAAAGGGCTCCTGGCACCACGTGGGGCACCGCCACGTGTCACACGCTACCACTGCACGTTTGCACTTGCATGGCCAGCTGCACGATGTCCAGGCTGAGCATTACACATTTCCCTTGTGCATCAGCCACTGTGTACCCACCTCCCCCACCCTGTGTGTGGCACAAACTCACAGCACTCACCTGCTGGTTCTTCCCTGATGTCCAAAGACACCTGGGAGGCCTCTGGGGTCTGGGTGACCAGCTCCAGGGTGAGGGTCACAGTGTCATCATCATCCTTCTCCTCCAGCAGCAGGTCTCGCTCTCCAGATTCCCTGGACTGCTTGTGCTCCTGCTCTGGTTCCTCCATGCCAGGATCTGATAACCCAGACTGCACCAGATGCAGTGGAGTCCGGGCTTCCCCACCACCGAGAATGTGCACCAGGTCCTCATAGTACGGACAGTAGTGTGGGGCTGCTCCAGAGCGGGAGCTCTCATCTCAGGCCTTCGCATACCCATGGCGCAATTCTTTAACTTTGGCCTGCACTTGGTCCTGGGTGCGGGAGTGGTGCCCTCTTCTGGCGAATCCCTGGGCCATGTGGCCATAAATTTCCACATTTCTGCAGCTTGAGAGGAGAGCTTGCAAAGATTCCTCCTTGGACCAGAACTCAAGGAGACTCTTGATCTCAGGTTCTGTCCATGCCCGCTGTTTGGAGCCCCTGGGTGGGTCCTCAGAAGTTTCCCTGGAAGGGCCAGGGGTGTCTTGAGGCTTTGACATAGCTGGCTGCTGTAGGACAGGAAAAGCTGTGTGCTCTGGCTGGTTTCCTGCCACAAATGGCTGGCCAGGTGCCTGTCCCTTTAAAACATGGCTGCAGACAGGAACAATAGAGGTGCAAGGCATGCAGCTGGACTGTCCACCAGGGCTTTTCCTGGAGGACTTTTTTCCAAAAACCTGGCTCCTTGCTTCCACACAGGCCTTTTTTCGACAGATCTCTGTCGAAAAAGGCATTCTTCCTTGTAAAGCCAGGTTTACCGCCATCAAAAAAACTGCCACATTCTTTCAATTGAATTTCAAAAGAATGAGGAGGTAGTCTAAATGCAGGTAAAGTTTTTTCAAAAAAAGGCTACTTTTTTTGTGTAGTCTAGACACACCCCGTGGGAGCTCCAGCCCAGCTGTGCCATTGCAGTGCTTCAGCATAGACAATACCTGTGCAACAAGAGAGACACTAGCTAAGCCAATCTTTAATTAAACTTTATATTGATCAATCCTTTGTTAGTGATTATATGAAGCTGAGCCTTCTCTAGGTAAAGAAGGAGTGGTGGTTGTTGAAGAACATAGTCCCCAATTCCAGGAGTTGAGTGTACATAAATGTAAAAGGCTGAATGAGGAATGGGTTTTTAAACTCAGGATTCAAGCTCTGCTTGAAATGGCACACTACATATTTCACTACTGATGGCAGTTTGGCCTAACTGTCTAAGTACAAGCCTGCTTGCAATGCCATCTGCCCATGCCAGCCCCGTCACATTATTTTTAGCGGACTGGAAAGCATGTTCCCATCTGTAGGCACATCTTAATTGTGAAGCTGTTGTAAAAAGGAGCCATTGCCTGTCCCATTTACAAATATTTTTTTCTTAAAAACATTCGAGTTGATGTACAGCATCAATCTCTGCACTTACTGAAACCAGCATAAATCTAGGATCACTGCTCTGTCAGTGGAGTGATGGCTGATTAACTTCTGTTCCACACTGGTGCAGAAACCTAAGGCTTTCTTAATAAAATGAAGAAAAATTTTAGTTTCTAGTCTGTTCTTCAAAAGAAGCTTTCCCCAGAGATTGTGAATTGTTTGCTCTTCTGTATTTGCTATCTAGTGTGTATATATAGATAGATATAGATTTATATAGATTTGTGGTTTGTACAAGCTTCTGGGGGGATTTTTTTCAACCTCTTGTGTGCATCTCAACCTTTTGACGGTCTTAGAGAACACAGGGTGTACATCCTGATTCTCTTTGAGATAATATGTAAATATTTTAGCACTAAGCTACTTTATGTTCTTACTTGCAATTGACAAGGAGGAAAGTGGGTGGGGTAGAGACTTTCCCTGTGGTTCCAAATTTCCCACAGGGGGCATGGCTAAGAGCAGCGTGGGATTTGTTCTGTACAATCTGTCAGAGTTAGTCTCTGAAGTCAGATACACAATGTGTTTCTTGAGCAACTATACTCCACAAGAACCTCTTACACCTATTACTACCTTGGAGTCCTAGATGTGAACCTACAGGAAATGGTGTTGGGTACAGTATCCTATAGTCTGTAAATTGTTTTTTTTTTTTTTTTTTTTTGCTAGCAGGGATATAAATCGTACTTCTGCTGCCTTTACTGCTAAAATACCAAAAACATTAATTTATTAAAATGTCCCTGGTCCACAGAAACAATACTTATTTAAAATAATTTATTATGTAATTTTATCAAAAGGGCAATGAAGATTTCTCAACTACTATTCTTCAAACCAGGTAGGACTTTAATTAAAAATGCTATGTTGTTTACCATATAACTGAATGTGCCTATTGTTCTCTGGGTTGATTTTAAGGTGTTAGTTTGACTTATGAAGCTCTAAATTGCTTGAGACCTATCTATCCAAGACCCGGTTGAAACAAACTTATTCACATGGGGAGACTAACTGATTTCAGTGGGGCTCAATGTGAATGCAAGAGTCTATCCATAGTAGTGCACTTACAGGAACAGAGTCTGACCAGCACAGCTAATGGTATGTGGAGATGCATGAGCTGAAGGTCCATTGATAGAAAGCTGGAAAACTCTAGCAGGGTTCTTCATTAAGGACCCATGCTTAGAAACACTTTCCCTTTGGAATATAAAAGGAGATGGTTGATGGGGGAGAATTGAAGGGGGCAACAGATTCTGTTGGGGGGAATATATTAAATGTGTTATTGCTACATTATTGTTATTTAGGGTAATTGATGGACAGATGAAAATGGTTTATTTTAAGATTGTGTTTTGAAGAGCTATGCATGTCCAGAACCTACAGTGGTTTTCTTACTGCAGGCTAATATATATTTAAACAAACAGATAAAGAAATGAGAGCACTCAAACAACAAATAGTTCTGCAGCATCTTAGAGACAAACAAAAAATGTAGATGGTATAAAAAAATGTAGCTGGTATGATACCAGCTACATTTTTTTGTTAGTCTCTAAGGTGCTGCAGAATTATTGGTTGTTTCTTGAGTTTTTTTCAGTCACAGACTAACTGAAATCCAATAGCACATTGAGAATATACAACACCCCTTTTTTTGTCCCAAATGAAATGAGATTGGTGGGCTATTCTGGTCAATACTGAACATTTGCCAACATTTCAGAGAATGACATAATTCAATCTGGTTTGCAGAGACCATAAACACTTTTTTCACTTCTGATATAAAGGCCAGAATTGCAAGAGTGGATGAGATTGAAAGTTTGCAGAAAGTGGCTATTTTTAAAGTATATTGTACATAGAACAATTCATGCTTCATTATACATTAAAAAGTTGCTATAGGAACCTGGCAGCTGTGCTACAATTAAAGACCAGTTATTATTCATTCCTATTATAAAATCCAGTTTTCAGCATTTTACCATCTTGGCTATTTTGATTCACAAGGTTCTATTATATCTATTATATTTGGCCAAGATTCTTTATTTTCAAATGGCAATAAATCCATGTTGAGTTTTAGAATGCCAATAAATACCTTTTGGACTTAGTTTGTAATGTTCTCTCTCCCCAAGCTTCAAATTCACTTATCAAATTTAATATTTTTACCGCTAGACTGTCTTGTTCACGATGCAGACTCTTGTTATTGGAAACAGGCTGCCTTAAATGTGATTATTCATCTTGTTTCCAATAATCACCTTGCATTTCAGAAAGTAGACTCCATTGTTTCTTCATGAGTCAGAATACAGCATTAAATATAATGTATGCATCTCTTCTGTTATATATTTTCTTAGTACTTGTAAGCTGATTTTATATTTTAAATATACTCTAAAGCCTTCATAGAGTAGTGATTCCAGATTATAACATTTAAATTCACTGAAACAAAGACATTCTTTTAAATTAAGTAGAGGTTTAGTGTGTTCATAACCAAGTTTTCTAATAACAATGGGTATGTCTACACTACCCCGCTAATTCGAACTAGCGGGGTAATGTATGCATACCGAACTTGCTAATGAAGCCCGGGATTTGAATTTCCCGGGCTTCATTAGCATAAAGCCGGCGCCGCCATTTTTAAAAGCCGGCTAGTGCGAACCCCGTGCCGCGCGGCTACACGCGGCACGGGCTAGATAGTTCAGAATGGCTACGTAGTTCGAACTATCTGTACTCCTCCTACAGATAGTGTGGAATGGCTACGTAGTTCGAACTATCTAGCCCGTGCCGCGTGTAGCCGCGCGGCCCGGGGTTCGCACTAGCCGGCTTTTAAAAATGACGGCGCCAGCTTTATGCTAATGAAGCCCGGGAAATTCAAATCCCGGGCTTCATTAGCACGTTCGGTATGCATACATTACCCCGCTAGTTCGAACTAGCGGGGTAGTGTAGACATACAAAATAAATTAGTGTTTCCTTTCTGTGGGTGTGATTTTCATAACAAGATGCGTTTATGAAATTTTACCATATTTATTAAAATGTTTCCAAAGATTTTAGGCATTACTAAGATCTAAAATCCTATGTTAAGTACTGATATTGGTAAAGGATTCTCTTAAAACTAGTTCATCAAATAATCAGACGCAAACAGGAAACTCATTTGTCCAGCTATCTGGAAGAAAAGGAATATTGTCCCTTTAAAGGCTCTCTTCAGCAAGGGGATGAAAGGAGAGCAGGGATGGACAGAAAGGACAGGGAGACTTTGGAAGCAAGTCTTTATACTATGGTAATTAAAATGTAAACTTTAGATAAAAGTGGTCTTTTGAAGAATGTAGTTTAAAAAAAAGTCTGAAGATCCAGGCATTTAAGGCTAAGGCTTACTCAGATTGTACATCTAAATATATCAATGCAAGGATATTTTAAGAGATGTGATTTTATCATCTTCAGCAACAAACTAATGAAAATTTATAGCAAATCTTAAACTAAGGTCCTGTAGATGTAGTAATGCAAAATTGTTTTTGTCAGTAAATTCAGGAATGGTCAGAACTGGGATAAGAAGAGGGGAGAAGTTGAGCACTAAGAGCCAGGGAAGACATTGCCACCTCTAGACACTCCACCCATGATCCTTCCCCACCCTTATCCCTTCCCTTTACAGCAACCTAAAAGATCTTACAACCAAGGACTTCTCTGAGGAATAGTTTAAAATAGATTGATTAGACATGCATTATTTAACTCTCGGCATGCAAGTCACACTAATACGGTACACGGGACAGCTGTTCCTCTTTCAAGCTTTAATACTGTATACACATACAGCAGCTTGCTGAGTACTAACCATATGGCATTCTCATTGAGCATCCCATAGCTATTTGCCCTGCTGCTGAGCAGTGTGCATTCTGAGATGTTTCTCAGTCTGCATTGTGGGATGCACAACAGAAGCCAGGCAGGTTTAAACTTAATCCCCTGTTTCCATTGGCTCCACTCAGTGCTTTCTTTCTGAGTGGGTTACCTCCATTTTTGGATTGCTGTCAGCCAGCATGGTCCCCACTCACAATGCTCAGCGATGCCACACAGGAGGCCCAGAATAGGCAAAGATGGAAGAATTCAGAAATCTGGAGTTGGAAAATGGTGTTTGGGAGTAAGGGTACGTCTACATTGAGGGGGTTTTCAGAGATACTGGAGGTATCCCGGAAAAACTCCACCGCATCCAAGGAATGCGTTTGCTCTTCCACTTTTTTATGCAAGGCCATATGCTGTGGTATCAGTGCAGTATTAAGCATCCATCTCTGATGAAATATTTGATCTTAAGTTTGCCTAAAAATTTGGGATAATATTTTGAAGAGCTAGATGCCCAATTCCTATTTAAATTCAATTGAATTTGAACATCTAATTCCCTTAGGTCTTTTGGACAATCCCAGTCTTATTTCTTCCATGTACCAAGGAGGAATGCCTCTGCTTTTGATAAAACAAGGTTTCACGGATATACATGATTTTGAACTTGGGTATCTCTTACGATCCAGTGTATTGCAATGAGCAACATTAGAGAGTCACTAATGTTTGCTGGATTCTAGCGTTAGTAGTGGAGTGAATGAACAGTTTAGAGTTACAGTTAAAAATGGAGTGATGTCCATCATAACGATTATGCTTCTTTTTAAAGGAGAAGATGAAAGTCTTATTGCTTATGTCTATGGCCTTGCTCACAACAGGTGAGTTTTCATTCATTGTATAATATTTGTAAAGAGTTTTTAAAAAAAGATAAATTTAAACCTGGTCATCCCCTGTCCTAAGAATTATCTGTATTATCTCATGGCAGGAGAGATTATGCAAAAAAGCTTTTTTTTTTTTTTTTAAAGAGAGCACTTCAACCCATTTATTCTTCCTGTGGTTGTTTTACATTCTTACTATAAATTTTATCCTGTTACCTTCCAGATTCTTCTGATTGCTTGAATTCCAATCTTCTATTTTGCAAGCAACTTCCAGGTAAACAACTCTTTTTATGCAGCACCCAGTTAAATGCAAAGATGAGCCCCACCACTGAAGGAAATCTCACAGTTGAAATGACTGGATAGTCAATTTGGGTTTGAAGTATTCATTAGTGTAAAGATTTTGGCTGCAATTCAGATCTGCATTGAACAAGGATTTCTGAAAAGTAGCATCCGATGTTCAGAATATGAACCTTTATTCATTGGTAGCCCATGGAATTTGTTCATTGATTGCAAGAGTTAGGAGCAAACTTTATGTAGAAAGCTTAACTTTTTATGCTTGCAGACCTAGAGAAAAACCAATTCACTCATGTGATTGACATACACGATGTAAGACAACTGAGAATTGCCACTGTATGGATACAAGCTATCAAAGCAAACTATCCAAGCAAAACTATCAAAGCTATCCAAGCAAAAGATGAAGATGACAGCCTGCTTATGGGCTTGCTTGACCACAGTGATTGAGAAAGAGGTAGCAGAGAGGATTGGCAGGGGGGAAGAGAGAGAATTGAGAGCTCTCTGGAGCCATGTTTGTTGCACTTCCTCAGGTGTGCTGAGGAACAAACCTGGGCAAAGGGTGTGCTGAAGCAGTATTGCTTTTAGGGTTATCATAGAATCATAGAATACTAGGACTGGAAGGGACCTCGAGAGGTCATTGAGTCCAGTCCCCTGCCCTCATGGCAAGACCAAGTACTGTCTAGACCATCCCTGATAGACATTTATCTAACCTACTCTTAAATATCTCCACAGATGGAGATTCCACAACCTCCCTGGGCAATTTATTCCAGTGTTTAACCACCCTGACAGTTAGGAACTTTTTCCTAACATCAAACCATTAAGCCCATTGCTTCTTATTCTATCCTCAGAGGCCAAGATGAGCAAGTTTTCTCCCTCCTCCTTATGACACCCTTTTAGATATCTGAAAACTGCTATAATGTCCCCCCTCAATCTTCTCTTTTCCAAACTAAACAAACCCAATTCTTTCAGCCTTCCTTCATAGGTCATGTTCTCTAGACCTTTAATCATTCTTGTTGCTCTTCTCTGGACCTTCTCCAATTTCTCCACATCTTTCTTGAAATGCGGTGGCCAGAACTGGACACAATACTCCAAGCAGGCCTAACCAGCACAGAGTAGAGCCGAAGAATGACTTCTCATGTCTTGCTCACATCACACCTGTTAATGCATCCCAGAATCATGTTTGCTTTTTTCCCCAACAGCATCACACTGACTCATATTTAGCTGTTGACTCATGTTTAGGGTTGTTTATCGGTACAGATACTTTAGAGTAAAGTGATACTCGCACACATATATCATATTCATGCTGGCAGTTTGGAGGCAGACTGCAAGTGCAGTGTACATTACTTTTAATTTCACTGGTGGCTGGAGTGCTGGCCATGTGTCAACTTCCTGGAGACTGGACCATGATGTTCCTTGGGAGACCCCTTCGGAACTGCAGGAGGCTTTACCACTCCCAGGCTGGTCCCAGGTTTCTGCTGTG